CTATTGGAGAGAAGTTTTTGTAAGCGAGTTCAGATCGAGCGCGCACAGGAAGCGTTTTCTTTACAAAAAAAAATATCATGCTTCAGAACAAGGCCGAATCCAAATTCTTTGACGTGGTTTCCTTGAGAATGTGCCACAAGTGCAATGTACATGATTTGGAATTGTATATCCATAATTCGGCAAAGTGTAAAACCTTGAATCCCTCTATCAAATGCACTTGTTTTTCATGCGGCACAACTTACTTCACTTGTCCTTTTTGCAAAGATTGCTTCTCCGACTCTCATGCATCCAATTTTTTAAAACACATGAAAAGATGTTCAAACAAAGATGAAGCTCAGAACCCCGTTTTCAAGTGTTGTTCCGAACAAACGACAGAGTTTGATCATTATTATTCTCATATCATCAAAAATCATTGTGGTCATTTGTGTTCGTTTTTAAAAAAACTCAAACATGAGGATAAAATGGATGACGAAAAAAACAACAAGAAAACGACAGGAGTGGTTGTTATGGAGGAAGGTTGTGATATTGGTGGTTTATTGATGAACTTAGAAGCTCTCACTGCTGACGTGCAGAATTTAGTACAAACACCATTTCCAATATTTGAATTTTTTGAGAAACTGAAACAATCTATGCCATATGTATCAAATCACTCGTGCGAGCATGAACAAGAATTTCACTTCCCTAAAGATCACCCTTTTGAAAGTTTTGAAGAATTATGTTGTTTTATGTTAATCAATCACTTTGGAATTTCTAAACAAGCATATAATTTCATGATTCAAATGCTGAAATCAACATTTAAAGACCGTCCTGAGTTGATGAAATTATTTGTGAGCTATGATACCTTGAAAGCAAGAGGAAATAATTTGAATCCCCAAAAACCCATGCAGTTCAATGATAATTTCATCCTTTACTCTGTACAAGATACTATTCGAAACATGTTAATGGATCCGTATTTGGTCAACCAATTATGTCTCAACCGAGAAAAGCATCAACAACAGTTTGCAACCAAGCAACCATTTCAATCTAAAATATTCAACAAAATTTTGGAGAAGTGTCAAAGTGATATATTCCCTCTTGTGATGCTGATATATGTGGACGATTTTGTAAAATTCAGAACAAAGTCAACATCAACATGTGGAGTGTACTCAAGTTTGTTGAATTTCAATAGCGACTTCATGAGAAAACTTGAATCTATAAGCTTACTTGGGTTCTCAAAAACTCACTGCGATTTTTGGACAATGACAAGCCATTTGATGAAAGAAATTAATCACCTTGATGGGGAGATAATTGAAATAGAAGATCCCTCTACAGGTGAGTCTAGAAAATTTCAGATTGTTGTTGCAGGGTTTTTATGGGACACAGTCGAGAAGATGTATTCCTTGCAACTCATGAAAGAAGAATGTAGCCGTTGTGAAGGAATTTATGATAATCAACATAAAACACCAGATTGTTTATTTGGAGCGTCTACGATAGAAGATCCAAAGTATGTCACGCATTTCGAGAAAAGAAATATATTTGAAGCAAACACTGTTATTATACATCGATTAGATCAATAGACAAGCAAGTTTAACCTTATAGGAAGATCAAAATTGAAATTACAGAAAACAAAAGAGAATAGTCGATATGATATTTTTTAAATACCAGCATTTAATTATATTTGTCAGGATAAGAACAATGAGCAATATTCAATAGAGATTTTGATTGGAAGAAAGTTATGCAGTTACAATGACAGCGAATAAAATAACGCAATTGTACAAATTCTATTCTAAATACCAATATCAGTATCTTGAGAAGACAAACTATGATTGGATTTTACATTTGCAGTATTTTGTTCGATTGTTGCGGTTTGACCATACAGACCACGACTTAAAAGAAGCCGAGAAACTCTATGTAGCGTGGCGAGTTGCATATAGAAACTGTTTTGGATCCGAAAAGTGTAAATTTCCAAACTTTCATGCAGGCTGTCATATATTTGAGGATGTCGATGATATTGGTCATGTTACTTGGTTTTGGACTCTCCTCTATGAGTTAAAACATTCCACGTACAAGCAATTCAATGACAAAAGCAACAAAAAACAGCTTGAAAAAAGGGCTTCTGAACGAGAAATGGTCATGAAAGCTCTTTTTACAAAATATCCTCAATGCAGAAAATTGATACCAAGAGCAAAAGAACCAGAATTCAAGCTTGAAAAAGACATTTTTGTCCTATTTGAAACGGATCAAGGAGAAATGAACATTGCGTTCGTTAAACAAGTAACTGATAAGGTAGTTCTTAGTTCCTTGATCTTTGAAGTGAAACACATGGATAACGTTCCTATATGTATCACTCAATGCATTCCACAACTAATGCTATCAGCAATAGATATCAGCAAAGTCAAGTCTAAATGTAGCTGTATTTGCTATTCATTGCCATCTGGGTTAAAGTGGCAATTGAATCAATTTGCATTTTGTTATAATTTTTGTAAATAAATATTAATTTTCTAAATATTTCAAAAATCAACAAGTCTTATTCAACAAAGTATCGATGAAAATAATTCGTGGTACTTTCATCCGAACCAATCCGAAGGTATTGTCCGTCGTTGTTATCATAATTAATTTCAATCATTATTTTGTCAATATTATTCTCCGTCCATATCTTGCCAGTGGTATTTCATCCGACAGTATTGGTCGAGCAGTAAAATATGTCATATATTCGTCGGTCAGTATTTTCCTCATTTACTTTTCCGACGGTATTTTGATGACCAGTATTATGCACATGTAATTGCCCTGTTGTATTATGTCGTCCTTGATGCCATGGTTAATATCCATCAGTATTTTAACCAGGGATATTCTCCATCCGTATTCGTCCAGCAGTATTTTAATCGAAGGTATTTTTCGATGGTAGATAAACGTCTTATTTTTGACCGCACTTATTCTCTGATTACTCATGCGGTATACCTGCTTCCTTCTGCTCCTAGG